CAAGGTGTAAAAAACCTGCTTGGATGCCCATTTATGTCTCTTCTGAAAGACCACCAGCTTATACAGACTGCTAGGAGGAATTCCAGAGTCTGTTATCAAACTGGCATCACCTCATGTGTGTTTCCTAAGGCCACTTCTTAAGCCCCATCAATGCTCCTTCACATAGGCAGCATGCTTGTCTCCCCTCACACAAAATTCCCAAGAATTCTGCTGGCCATTTGGGTCTCTCCAGCTGGGACTCCCCTAAATCTGTATGCTTAAGGCCTCTTTCCCTCAGGACACTTTTGCTGCTGTGTGACCTAAGCTATGCTTGCTGTGGCTTTGGACTCCTTCACACTTCAGATGATATGAAGGAGAGGTATTAATCTCACCTGAACTGTGTCACTTAAAAGCTTTCCATCCAAATAGGCTGATGCTGATGTCAGAGTTGGGAAAGGCCTGGGGACAGCTGGAGAAACTACCCATCTGACAGGCAAGGAAGCCCACATCCAGAGGAATGAGGGGCTTTGACCAAAGCCACATATTTAATTACTGGGAGAACCAAGACCTTCGTCTCCTGCTTTCTAGCTCAGTGGCTTTCCTGCTGTGTCTTGTGCCTGAGTGTTGCCCCAGAACCAATCATAGTAAGTTGGCACCTGGAGTCCAGCTGGAGTATTTCTGTCTCCCCATGTCCTACTCAGCTTAGGTGGAGGAGTGTGGGCTTTTTCTCCCCTGGGCCTGTGAACTTCTTTCCTGTTCTGTCTCCAGAGGAAGGAGAGGACCCACTCTGGGCTGCAGGAGTACACGAAGTGCTTCAGGAGTATTATTATTAAATATTCATCAAGAGGAGAAAAAGATAGCCATAAAAAACATTATTGGAACAATTGACAATAGATGTAGACTGTGAATTGATCAATAACAGTATTGGTGCAATGTCAAATTTACCGATTTCAATAATTGCATTGTAGTCATGTTCTTAGGACACACACAACAGGATAGTTAGAAGTCAAGGGTGGCCGGGCGTGGTGGCTCATGCCTGTAATCCCAGCACTTTGGGAGGCCGAGGCGGGCAGATCACGAGGTCCGGAGTTCAAGACCAGCCTGACCAACATGGTAAAGCCCCATCTCTACTAAAAATACAAAAATTACCCGGGTGTGGTGGCATGTGCCTGTAATCCCAGCTACTCAGGAGGCTGAGGCAGGAGAATCACTTGAACCTGGGAGGCGGAGGTTGCAATGAGCCAAGACTGCGCCACTGTACTCCAGCCTGGGTGACAGAGCAAGACTCCATCTCAAAAAAACAAAACAAAAAAAAGTCAAGGGCACAATGTCTCCACTTTGGCCTAAAATGTTGGTACCTATCTATCTAAATAAATAAATAAATGAATATATATGGAGAGAATAAAACAGTGAAACAAAATGTAAACAATTGGTGACTCTAAATAAAGAGCATACAAGAGTTCCCTGTGTTATTGTTGGAACTTTTCTGTAAATTTGAAATTATATCAAAATAGGTATAAAAAATTCCCATCAAGAGGCACACAGTGAACAAAAACACTGAGAGGTCTTAAAGTCCAGAGAGGCAAGCTGGCTGTGGCTCTCCTTCCCCCAGACCTCTGCCAGCCCTATCAGCCAGTCCCCGCCTCCTGCTGCCCCCGATGAGCCCCCTGAACGCACTGCAGGTCAAGGTTGGCACCACAGTTCCACAACTTATTAGCTGTGAGACCCTGCACAGGGCAGCTTAGTTCTCTGAGGCTCTGTTTTGCTCATCCCTAAAATGGGAACCGCTATTTATAGCACAGTTGAGTGAGACTCAGCTGAAGTGACGTAGGGGCTCCTAAGGGGCTCCCACTGCGCAGGCACTCTGTAGATTCTGATTTTGTTCAGCCTGAAGCTGTCCTGAGACAGATGCCCTTACAATCTTCACTCCAGCATCTGGGTGGCTCCTTCCTGTCTGCCTCCTCCCCATCTGATGCTACATAAACCACATTCCTCTCCTGCATAACCTGGCCCTGCTGTCCTCATCCCGAAATCTCCCCAAGCTATTCCCACTTCCCTCCTACACTTGAGAGTCGGTGTCCGGCAACCTAACTTGTACTTCTGCCCGCCTTCTCTCACCCTGTCCTTGCTTGGGTTAGGGCGGATGTCCTTGACTTTCCCTCATGGTCCTCAGTGCACAGCAGGGAGGGTGTGCAGAAGAGGGACCTGGTCACGATCTGTTTGATGAGAAAATCACTCAGCCTTCCCTAGGGAAAGATGGAGTTCCTTCTTACACTAGGTACTTCTCAGCCCTTGGACACAGATGAACACACACACACAGCCAGATCACTCACTTCTGCTTCTCAAGAGCCACAGTGTGGGCACCAGGCTTCTCCCTGGAACAGCTGGTTTCCAGCTTGAGTGTACATGGGATGACCTGGAGCTTGAACAAATACTGAGGCCTGGCACCCACCCCTGAGATTCTGATGTAATTGGTCTGGGGGTGGGGGAAGCCTGCACGGCAGTGGTTTAAAAGCTCCCCAGGTGAATATAACATGCAGCCAGGGGTGCGAGCTGCTGCTCCAGACTCAGACAGTAACAACTTGCATGGGATTTCCACAGCCCTCTGTTCGCAGGGCAGAGAGCCCAGCTCCTGCTCTGCTCATCATCTGGAGCTTGTTTTCTTCCTCCACAGTTCTGCTCTGACCCCATCTCACCTCCTCAAGGGCTCACTGGAGTGGGTGTGCTGGACCTGGAGTGGGTATGCAGGAGGCCACCCACCAATCAACACCTGTGCTGCAGCTTCTGAGTCCAGGAGTGGAGGACAGCCATGCCATAGCCCGAATTCACAGTCCCTGGTGCTCTTCCTACATTCTCTAGCTCTTCTGCTCACAATTTGCCATACCAAGGATAGCATGGGCACAAGGAATATTTTTGGGAGATAAAATTATTAACCCATTCTCACTAGGTTTTTCCTGGTATTATTTATGCATTTCCAACAACTTATTAAATGTCCATTCTTGATATTCTCAGGCTATATACCTTGGTTAAATATCAATGAGAAATTAATTCCGATTTGGCTGCCTCAACATACTGAAGGCTGAGCTTCCCCAACAGCCTGGCTGGTGTATGTTCAAGGAACCCATGTTCACCGTTAGAAAGGTAAGAATAAAACATCATCACAAAACACTGCGTTGTAATGGAAAAAAAATTATAGTCTAAATTAATCAGGCTTAATTACTTTCCTCTATCAGTATGGGCAATTAGGAACTTATCCTTGTTTTTTGTTTTTTTAATTTGTTTTAAGACATAGAATGTGCTGGCGATGTCCAAGCAACTCTGCACCCTCTGTTGAAATTCTAGGTTTCAAAGGATAGTTCTGCTCTCAACATTAGATTCAAAATCATAGGGTAAGTACCATTAGGACTTTGGAGGCACTTCTGCCTTTGTATCCCCCTTCCTCCACCAAAAAAAAAAAGTACATATATTTAATTATATATCATTTAATTATATATAAGTATTATATTTGAATTATGTATATCATACTTTATAACCACATTGGTATAAAGATGAATATATTCATATTATGAATTAAAACATTGTCTTCGGTCAGGCATGGTGGCTCATGCCTGTAATCCCAGCATCCTGGGAGGCCAAGGTGGGCGGATCACAATGTCAGGAGTTCGAGAGCAGCCTGGCCAATATGGTGAAACCCTGTCTCTACTAAAAATACAAAAATTAGTCTGGCGTGGTGGCACACGCCTGTAGTTCCAGCTACTCGGGAGGCTGAGGCAGGAGAATCGCTTGAACCCGGGAGGAGAATCGCTTGAACCCGGGAGGCGAAGGTTGCAGTGAGCCGAGATCGCACCACTGCACTCCAGCCTGAGCAACAGAACAAGACTCTTTCTCAAAAAAACAAAAAACAAAACACATTGTCTTAGACTTAGAAGTTCACTTTTTTTCTTCTAATTTTATAAGCTATTACAGCAGTTGGCAGGCCTGTAAAAGCACTGTGGACCCTAGGCATGGTGCCTAATGGATGTGTGGGCTCTGGGGAAGCTGAGATTCAAAAAGAGGGTGGTAGCTGTCTATGGTCACTGAGAGACTCCTTTCTCTCTTGGCTTTTTATACCACACTCCAATTTGATTTTAAGAAAAACTGGGAAGGGCCTTCCATGAGCAAGGTGCAGCGTGTGTCATTCAAAAAGGTAATCACTTGAACAGATCCTTTACAATGGAGGAGGGAGGACAAAACGCAGATGCATCTCCATGACATTGGAAAGGAGATAGTGGAGGAGCCAGGTGCTGACACTGCGGGAGCTGAAGTGAGGGAGCACTCAGGGATAAGGGACTTTTCAGAGGAGTTTGCCAGAAAGGTGTCCATCCCATGAACACAGGTGCCAGAGAAGGCATGAAGGAAGAAACCTGGGGGCTGTGTTGTGCACAGTGAAGAGCTCAGTTTGGCCTGAGAGTAAAATAGAAGGAAAGGAGCTGGGGGCAGAGCTGGGGGCAGCACTGGGAAAGACTGGCGGGGTCCAGGCCACACGTGGGATGTGTGCACATGTGAGCTAGGTGTGTCCTAGGCACTAGCATGTGGAGCTTCACTTGTGGATTTTGCAGGCTCTGGAGGTCACTGCATATGTCAACCAGGAGTGATGAGATCAGAGCTACAATGCAGAAAAGAGCCCCTGGGAGGGCAGGGTTAACTGGGGAGAAGTTAGGAGGAGCTCTCCTTGAGTCTTAGTGGGAGGTGAAAGGCCGTGAGCAAGGTTGGGCCGGGGAGGTAGACAGGAGGACAAACGAGATTCGAGATGTGCAGCACCACCCAGGCTGGAGGCCAGCTGGGGAGAGGACTGGGAGGGGGTGACAAAGGCCACTGGTTCTGCTACAGGGAGTTCACTGGGCACTTTGGCTGTGGGCAGACACCAGACTTCCAGGAGCTCAGGCAAGAGTGAGTGACCAGGAAGTGGGGCTCTGAGGCTACCCTCAGTCCCCAGAGTGACTGCCCCTGCCTCTGCCTGGTGAAGCTGTGCAAGTACTCACTCTCTGTTCCTAGCACAGGAGGAAGAGAGCTCTTGGGCCTCCGGGATTTCATCTCCCGGGCCTTGGTGTTCTCACTGGCCGGAGCATCTGGAACAAAACAGGTAACAACAAGCATTAGTCAGCAGTGGCTGAGGAAATGAGCAGAGGGGGCCTCTTGGTCAAAATCCCACCTCAACCAAACCCCTCCCCCAACTCTGAGGGCCGTTTGTGCCTGCTGGGCAGAACAGTGCCTGCAGTCTGGGCAATCTCTTTCACCCTCCATGAGAACACCAAAGAAGGACCGTGCACTACCCTGGGCCTGATGAATCCAGTGGAGAGAGCACTGTCACCTTGGCAAGATGAGTGCACAGGCCGCCCTGGGAACTTGGGATGCTCCCCCTGGAATGCATTGCCAGCAGGGTGGGGGCAGAGTCAGCCCCTGCTCATCTCCCCTGGCTTTCTCCTCCACCAGCCCTTTTCTCCCTCACACTAGACATCCCAGGTCTCCAAAAGGCTCTCTCTCCAACAGGGGTAGGAGGGGACAGGGTCCCTGCCCTTGGGCTCATGGACTAGAGGTGGCTCACAGCCTCTGATTTCTCTTTCTTCTGCAGACCAAACTTTGCAGTGACAAACCAAATGGAGGCCTTTGAGCAGGCAGCCAGCACGCCTCCCACCTCTGAGATGGGAGACAGGCCCCATTGTGGGGCTTCTGCTAGTCCTCCCCTGGCAGACCCAGTGAAGCTGGGCACAGCTGCCTGCAGGGCAGACACGAAGATGCTGGGTGGTGCCTCCCTCAGACTGTGCTCCACACTCCCACTGCCAGAGGAAACCCTCCCTCATGGGTACAAGCAGGGCAACATCACTCAGCTGGGCTAAGCTTGGTGGAAAGGCCCTCACCGGCCCCCAGGATGCTGTGGGGAAACCACCGGGAACTGGGATAAGGAGGAGCTGGCTGAGCGGCTATCACTGGGCCCCAGAACTTTCACTGGCCTTCCTTTCCCCACAAGTGGCACTCTTTGGGGACAGTGCTGAGCAGGAATCTCCTGCAAGGAGCCCCCTCCCTGGCCGTCCTTTTCCTGCTCCTGAGGAGAGGAAGCTCAGTGGGAGTGGGGGGGAGGTGGGACTTTCCAGCGTAGGCTCAGCCACATTCCTGAGGCTTGGCTGGGGAGGAACAACCCTCTCAGGGTCTGCCCCAAGGACTGGCAGTCGGGGCTGATAGTGCCTAGACTGGGCTCCTGAGGCTCTGAGGGGTGGGTGTAGGGAGCAGAACTGGGGCCTGGACTCTGAGCTGCCTCTGGATGCATTTCTCCTTCTGGGAGGGATTTAGACCCCTCGCCTGCTCCAGAACATGGATCTGCCTGCATGAGTCCCTCTGCTCATCATCACCCCAACAGGCTTCCTTCCCAATCTAGTGCCTGCCTCCTCTCTGTTATGGGTAATCCAGGGAGGAGGCCCTGTGCTGGTGCCACAGGCTCAAGGCAGCTCAGAAGCAGACAGGCCTCCGGGACTGTGGGGCAATCCCCCACCAAAGACAGTGGAAAGCCCTGCTTGTGCCATTACGGGCCTTAAGTAGGACTTCTTAGCAGTACATGACGGGGTAGGGGGAATACAGCTGAAGAAACCCTTTTAAGTAGCACCTGACACCCAAACACTCCCTCACCTCCACTCCCCACTTTAAGACGGACTCCTGCCACCTCCCATACGGGCAAAAGAGCCCCAGATGACACATCAGGCGTCCCTGCTATCTGGATCGGACACTGTCAAGCTCCTCAGGAGGCTGCCCACAACCCAGCATGCCAGTTCCGTGGGGACACAGAGAAGCAGAAAGCCATGGGGCAGGGATGATTTCATTTTCTTACACTGGACATTTCCAAGGATGGTGGTCATTCACAGCTACAGAAAAATCCTCCTTACATAGTTATTTGTCAGCCTTGGGCCTCAGCTGTGTATTAGAGAGTGCACAGGGAGTGGCTCCAGAACTATTCCAAGAGGCAGAAAAACCTGGCAGTGCTTCCTCTTGACATTTGGGGATGAGGGTGCCATAAACCAGGGGCATGGAGTCAGTCTAAGCTTCCCTTGTCCTGGGCTCTCCCTTCTTCCCTTTCTTGAAGACCAGCATTTCTAACAGCCAGGGATGACAATATAAAGAAAGGTGAACCCAGTAATTGTTTTGTTTGGCCCTGCTTTTTTTTTTTTTTGAGATGGATTCTCACTCTGTTACCCAGGCTGGAGTGCAGTGGTGTGATCTCAGCTCACTGCAACCTCTGCCTCCCAGGTTCAAGCGATCCTCGTGCCTCAGCTTCCTGAGTAGCTTACAGGCATGAGCCAGCATGCCTGGCTAATTTTTCATATTTTTAGTAGAGAGGGGTTCTGCCATATTGGCCAGGCTGGTCTTGAACTCCTGACCTCAGGTGATCCACCGGCCACGGCCTCCCAAAGTGTTGGGATTACTGGCGTGAGCCATGGCTCCTGGCCCTTCTTAAGGAAAAGGAGTACCAGGCAGAGTGTGTATGGAGTTCCGTATTCCTCAGCTTCAGCACTCATTCTCCTGGTGAGTCTCGGAATATAGAGGAGGGAGAAGGAGGAGGATCAAGTTTGCTTTTTTAACTGATGAGAAAACTGAGGCACAAGAAAGCAAAGGATAAGAGGACCAGTTTTCCTGAGCTCCTGAAAGAAGGGTACTCCTTCTGTCCTCATGGGGTTGTGTTGGGCTTTACTTTCAAGCATCGCCACAGTAGAGACCAAGAGAGAATGGCTCTAGCTTTGGCTTTGTCATCAGCAATCTGGGGAACTTGACAAGCAATCTTGGGAATCTTGGAAACAGAGACACAGGGCAATTTCAATTATTTGTGCAAAGGGAATGATTTACTTTCTCTACTTCACGGTGTTCTGAAGCCCAAAGGAGAGAACACGCGCAATAGTGCTTTGGAAAGCAGAAAATGATCATTTATTGGCTGGGCATGGTGGCTCACGCCTGTAATCCCAGCACTTTGGGAGGCCGAGACAGGTGGATCACTTGGGCCCAGAAGTTCAAGACCAGCCTGGGCAACGTGGTGAACTCCGTCTCTACAAAAATTACAAAAATTAGCCGGACACTGTGGCATGTGCTTCTAGTCCCAGCTGCTTGGGACACTGAGGTGGGAGGATCACCTGAGTCCACAGAGCTCAAGGCTGCAGTGATGGTGTCACTGGATGAACGAGTGAGATCGCTCCAGCCTGAATGACAGAGTGAGACCCTGTCTTAAGAAAATGAAAAAAGCAAAAAGATCATTTACCTATGAATTCATTCTTCTTGATAGCCATATTCCCTTATCTCTTTCTGAATCAGCTTTAAAATTTTCCACCTTCAGAAAGCCCTCCCTGCCCAGCCCCATCTGCCTCTGGTGCCGTCCTCAGCCCTAGGGTGCTGGGTTTTCACTGGACGTGTGAGTACACTACCCTGTAATAATATGCTGTGAATCTTGTTTTTAGAAGTTCCTGCAGCATTTTATCTTTCCATCTGGCCATGAGGAAAGGGGCTCAAGTTCCCCTTTCAAACCAGGCACACCCCAGATTTGGAGGCCCAGGGGGTGGCCACACTCCACCTAAAGTGCCAGCATGGTGGGGCTGTGCATGTGCCACGGGGCCCTGCCAGGAATGCGAAGCCAGCAGATCTCCGTGTGAACCGCAGCAAGGAGCGGGCTGGAAGGGCCGTGCACCTAATCAAGACCAGCTTTATGCTCACATGGCTGCCAAGCGGATAAAAATAATAGTAATATAAGTTTGAGAGCAGCTTGTATTTTCTGTTTGTTTTAATCATTTTCTGATGAAAGTAAACTCCGTTTCTAGGTCTGGACCCCAAGGCTGAAGTCCTTTGCTGGTGACCCCAAAGAAGTGTGTGGGAGGAAGATGGAGGTGTGGGGAAGTGGGGGGCCTCTACATGGGAAGGAAAATGTGTCTTTATATGGACAATGCTTCACCCCTTCCACTCAAGCCTTCTGGGCTGCATTTTTTTTTTTTTTTTTTTTTTTTTT